TCAATAATCTTCACTCATCACCTGCTGCACCGCCTAATCGTCATGTGTTTCACATCATATGTTGATTTTTCACCGTTCAGCATTGGATTCTCTCAAAGCACCAGACTGAAGACTTTTATTATCCAATTTTTGGTAGAAAGACAGAGAGAACATAGAAATGAAAATGGTTGAGTTTGTTTTAATTTACCATGCGGTTAATTGATTTATTGCTTATTGCCAGACCTAATTCTAACATGTAATTTCTTATTTTAAAGTGATTGAGCAGGTTTTTCAATGCAGAGTCCCTAGTTTACCTGGTCACCTATGGCTTTGTTTTGGTGATAGTTAAACTTAGTAGAAGCTGTCTTCTGGTATTCTAATTGATGGTTTATTAAGCCATAATGTGAATTAAAGACATCAGAGTCACTTTAGTGTTTTTATTTATTTATGGGCAACAAAGGTAAACTACCTGGTTGATGTTTCAGACTTCTTTATTAATTTTTTTTTAAACCAGAGCTCATTGCTCAGTAAAAACAGTCAGGAGTCCCTGCTGTATTTGAGTGTTTGTCATTCTGTGCTCATCCGGTTCTATCAGAACCTGGTCTGGGACTTGTGGAAGCCACATGATGAAATGTTTGGACCACAAACAACACGGCGAGTAACCGTGGAAAGCGACATCTGGCCTCTGACAGTGAAATAAGAGCAGGGTACTTTACGTGTGTCCGCAGCTGGCGATGCTGACGGGTTTGTGGTAAACCTCTAAGCAGATGGGACAGGAGAACTGGCTCTCTACGCCCTCAGGGGGGGCTGCCAGCGGGCCGGGGCCGCTGCTGGACTGCTGCTGCTGACGAAACTGGGTGCTCGCCGACACAAAGCTCCGAAACATCGCCATCATGGAGCCGAAGAGGAGCCGCAGTTGTCGACAAAAGCCTCACCAGGGACTAACAGTTCAAACTAGCTAGTGCATATTCCGTACAGCGGAGCGGAAAAAAGGGTCCCCCTCCTACGGCTTTTTTTAAAAAAAAAAAAAAAAAAAAAAAAAGACAGAAATGTCTCCTCTGTTGTTCAGCTTTACTTCCCCCTGGCTGGAGAAGACATGCCAGAGTAGTAAACATTGGAAGCAGCGCTCGCTCGCTGGCGACTGAAAGCACGACGCTGTGATGCTTGACCTCAATTAAAACCCTCGACCCATAAACGTGTGGATCGCAGGGAATGCTGCATCCAGATGGCTGTGAGATCTGCGCTGACGGCTCGAGAGAAGCGGCTGCTCGCGAGGCTTCGCCGTGGCGCTCCGCGCGCTCAGCTTTCTGGAAGATGAAGTCCCGCGGATCATCTGCTGGCAGCAGGAGGTGGGTCTGAGGAACTGCAATCCCACAGAGCAGTTCACCCAGCAGCAGAAACACCGGAGAGAAAACATGAGGGTCACTTAAGAGCTTCAACCCATCCTTTGTCCAGTATGTCCATTCTATCATATAATAGTTTTAAATTACTGGCTCCAAACTAAGAGCCAATAATCACAAAGTACCAGATAAAACTGATATTTGGGGCAGTATTGTGGAAATGACCTTTTTTTTTTTCTTTTTTTTTTTTTTAGCTTATATCACGTTATAATGTCATTCACTTATCAAAACATACCTGGAGTGTTGACTTGATTCTGCATGTTTTAAATCTTTATGGCAACCATTCAGCTGTGCAAAACGCCTGGTTGGATCTTACCTCTGCAGTCCCCAGGCTGAGCTTCCACCTCACAGAGCAGCCCTACCTGCAACTCAGTCGCTCAGCTCCTTTAGACTAGCCAGCAGCAATTAGCAAACACCTGGCAGAACTGTGAATCTGCTGAGCTCCTTATACAAGCTACTTCTCAGTGCAACATTGGTTTAAACGTTGTTGAAAGGTTAATAGAGGAGCAATGTTGTGATGACTTCCTACCTCTGCTGTAATGTGACAAAATGAAAAAAGTTCAAAGGGTAACAATATATTTATGAGGCTATACTTGTTTTGCAAATAAGCTGTTTTATTTTTCTTCAAAACATCCCTCTGCCTTTACATTGACACACTAACAAAATAAAGGATTACTTAATACAGAAAAAGAACAAACATGACACTGATTTAAATACCTTTAGAAAAGACATAAACCATGAAAATCATGGTTGTGTATTAACAGCGGGTGTATATGGAAAACTTTATTTATACCCACCTACTGTCTCACCCTGAAGTCCACTAGGTGGTGGTATTGCACCACGAGTTGGTTTACAATCTTGAAGAAAAATATCAGAAGAAGAAAGAGGATTAAGGTAGTAGGAGTTGTGGTGGAAACATCCCATCTAAAACAGAACGACCTGCTCTGATCATTGGAGGTACTCACGATTCGTGTACCGAGCTGGAAACACGTCCAGCCGTGCTGCGATGTGTCAGGTGGAAGAAGAGTACCACGAGCAGCTGGAGCGCGTGGATACACCCAGGTAGGCGGTATAAACCTCCACGCGCCTGGAGAACACAGCACAGAAAATGCCGGTATTTAAAGACGTCGTTTGGGTTTTCAGTGACGTAGCAGAACTTTATAAAATGAGAAGAATGTTTTTGAATGGCAGGAACTAATGTGGTGAACGGAGCTACAACCATTTAAAATAAAAAGACCAACAGGAAAGTTTCTGTCAGTGACACAAATGTGCCTCCAGATTATTGTGATGACAACGATATATTTGTTCTCGAGCTGGGAAAAAGTTATTTACCGATTTTCAGAAACTGTGACTGACATTACACAGTGAATACAAAGACAAATTGAAAAAAAAAAGATGGATCATTTATTTGCTGCATTATCTGTTCCACTCTGTGTGGTATTTTAGTGTATTTCTAAAACATTTTAATATGTAACTTCTTTAACCAAACACAATCTTTCTCTCCGTTGTTAGTGCTTCGAAAAAATGTGTCAAATGCAAAGAGGAGCTGGCAGCTGTGGTCATCAGAGCAGGCGATGCTTACTGCAGGTAGGACATGATGCTAGTCAGGAGTCGCTGCACACAGCAGCATCACTCAGCCACTGTGAAAACGAGATTTATACAAGACTGAGAGTAAGTGATGCAGTTTGAATCACTGTAAATTACTTAATCCGCAGGCATTTGTCATAATAATTAGGATCTATAAAACAGATGTTGCTCATATCAATGAGTAAAGTTTTGAAAGTGCTGTGCATCCTGGCTTTTTCTCTCATTCTGTTTGTTTCCCAGGAAGTGTTTCAGAGAGAGCTTCATTCACAAGTTCAGAGCCATGCTGGGTAAGACCCGGGTCATCTTCCCCGGAGAGAAGGTGAGGAGGTCACTGACTCACTAACCGGAACATCCTGCTCAGCTTGACTGGATGGTTTTAAATCCAGTTCTTCTATTTAGTCATGGAGATATTTTTATTATTATTGTTATTATCATTATTGTTATTATTATTATTAGTAGTAGTAGTAGTAGTACTATTAGTAGTAGTAGTAGTATTAAAAACCAGAACTGTTATTCTCGAATTCCATCCACCAAAAGACTTTGGAAAAAGAAAATAGCATGAAAATCAGGTTTTAACTTCCTGAGGACAGATCTGCTGAGTCAGGTTTCCTAACAACTATAACACCCAAAGTCTATTTCCTATTCAACTTAAAATTGTTGGTTGTTGATGTATAGTACAAACCTGTGTGAAAGTCTGACTGGTGGAATAGATATCATCATATGTAAAATACTCAGCTGCTGGACTTCAATAAAGCTGTGATGGCAGTAATGTTGCTGCATACTGGATGAAGGTATCAGATGTGATGTGTATCTGTTTTCTTCTTTCTTCTGGTTTTTGGCTGAACCTTCCATCACTATGAGGTTTAGCATCTGGCTCTGCTGCCTCAGACTCTGTCCAAAATATTACATTATCATAAAAAGGCAGGATAGTAACTCTTAAAAAATATATTATCAAACAATTACTGCATTCTAAGCAGTTTTTTTGTATGAAAATTGCTCATACTGATAATTGCAATGATTATGTATTATCAATATATTGTGCAGCCCTAGATTTTATACACACCCAGACATGAAAGCAATTGGACCGCCTAAAATTAAATGATCTGGAGGATTGACAGTGTAATATTAATAAGACTTGTGATTTGTCAGGTCATTTCTTCTCCTCTCACATCTGGACGTACCAGTAGAATCGAGTCCGTCCAAACTGAGCTGGAAACTCCATGTGTTCTGGCAGCTGTAATGGTGAGTTCAGAGGAAGTCGTAACTCTGAGCATCTCCTCTGTGTGCAGGTGCTGCTGGCGGTCTCCGGGGGTCCTTCTTCCTGCTCAATGCTCAGCCAAGTCCAAGAGGTGTGAACATGTCATTCAGCCTTTCCCCTCATACAGACCAGGGTGTGTCTCAGTGAAACCTGGTCGTATCGTAGCATCTAGTCGCTCTTCTCGCTGTCTTGTCAGCGCAGGAGTTTTAAGCTCTGCCTGGATTAGTTTTTTATTATAACGCACATCGAACCCAGCATTTTATCGCCCCTGAAATGCTGTTTTCCAGAAACCAGTTCCAGAGTGAAAAAGTCCGCATGTGGTGTTTGCAAACAGATATCTTCATGTATAAATGCAATTTAATTCAGTTTATTTTTATAGCAGCAATTAACAACAGAACAGATGTGATTTCAGGTCGCTTTACATAAAATAAAAATAAAAACTAATTTAGCCCAACTATGCAGACAGATCCCTGGTTAGTTACCTACCTAGATATCAAACAATGCAGCCGGGAGGCCTGACCCCATGAATGTTCCAGTCTCAACATGAACCTGTCACTACACTGCAAACACACAAAATCTTACCAAGAATCTTTGTCTAGTTCTGGGGCAAATATTTTAGTATTCTTGAAATAAGTAACTTTTCAGCAAGACATAAGAGCATGTTTTAAGTCAATAATTATTGAATATAGATAAGAAAAAAAACACTAGTACTACTGGGAGATTTCTTCACTTATAACTTTTAAACATTTTTCCTGTTTTAGGTGAAAAACTGAAGTGTTTAACTGGTGTTCATGTCATGCTCTGTCTCCCTCTCAGGGTGTGAGTCAGAACGCTCATAAAAAGCTGCGCTTCTTCCCTGGGATCGTTTACATCGATGGTAAATGAAATCATTTCTGTAACTCCAGATATTTCCTCTCTAGCTGAAGGAAATCTGTTAGATGAGTCTTCTTTGTGTGTGTGTGTGTGTTTGTTTGTAATACCTTATGGGGACGATTTTCCTTATATATATACACCGTTGTGGGGACCAATTGCTCCTTGTGGGGACCGGAGCCTGGTCCCCACAAGGGGAAACCCTGTTTTTGGGTCAGGGGTCAGATTTAGGGCTAAGGTATGAATTGAATTTTGGATAGGGTTAGGTATGTGATGGTTAGGGTTAGGAAAAGGGTAAAGTTAGGTTTAGGCTGTAGAAATGAAGGCCCCACAAAGATAGCCACGCAAACATGTGTGTGCGTGTGTGTGTTTTTCCAGAGGGTGGCGCTCTTGGTCAGTGTAAAGAGATGAGACAGAAAACAACATCTGAGCTGTGTGACATGTTCAGGTCAACCGGTTTCCCCTTCTACATCCTTCCTCTGGAGCAGGTCAGTATGAGCGCAGGGACAAGCCTGTTTCCACAGTTACAGATAGGCCTGTCAAAATAAAAAAAATTGCGGGACATTAAATTGCCCCAGCAGTTATTGCAATAAATTCTGATATTGTTGTTTGGATATAATGTTAATTGCTTAATAATGGAAGAACACATTCTCAAAGATCAATAAACTTTAAATTCTAACGAATATTTAACAGTGGGACTGGAGGACATTTTAAATGTCCAAAATAAATAAACGAAACAACAGAAACAACAAATAAAATGAATTGTGAGTCTGTTTAATTTTTGCTTTTTTATCCCTTCTTCTAGGTTCTGGACCTCCCTGGATCCGTCCTGACTCCCTCACCGCCGTCAGACCAACCAGGCTCCGTCTACAAAGCAGCTGTGGATCTCTTCCTGCAGAGTGGCGACAGCAGCAGTGATGGAAAGGCTGAGGAGCAGGAGTGTGTGTCGCTGCCTGCTGTTCAGGAGTCACACACACGGCTGCTGCAGCAGCTGATTGGCTCAGCTCAAACCCTGACAGCCAAACAAGACCTGCTGAACACATTCAGGTTGGATCACCTGGAATTCTTCCGGATTATTCTTAAAATATACATCAGCAAAGTGTAACATGTTTGTTTATATTAATTAAAATACTACTTGTTATAAGATGGTTTATTTTCCTAGAAAATTTTGTTAGTGTCTTGACTGAATAATAACTGTCATAATTTAGCTCAAAGATTATAAATCAGTAGGCAGTTGGGATCAGGGCCAACTCTAGACTTTTTGGGGCCTTAATCTGATTTTAATTCAAGGCCCCTCATAGCAACATGTCAAAAGCAGATATTTCTTTAGTCCTAGGCTACACTGTATGCCTACTGTTATTAGTGTCATTTGTAATTAGATGACATCATGTCTGTGTTATTATGGCTATTGATTTGAACCTTATGATGCTCTAATTAATTAGCATTGTGAAAAGCGGAGTGATATTTAACTGTAGCTTATTAGTTTAACTATTTGAGAGTAACATCTGCAGACATACAGAATTTACAGTAAACAAGGTTGCAAGTTTAATATCCTTTGTTTTTCAAATTTGGGACAGGTGTGTAAAATGTGCTAAACATTTGTAATTTGTCACTACAAAATAAAATGAAATGATGAGTTTTGGGGGCCGCTGGCTGACTTTGTAGCACTGTTAGCTACAGTTAATGGGACAATTTTGGTTCCCAGTCAAACTGAGTCTAATGGAATATCAGGTGTGAAAACAGCCTAAATCCTTCACTACTTTTATAATCAGCAGCATCCAAAAAGAAAAAAAAAATCAATAAAAATACCCCCTGGACATATTTTCTGTTCCGTTCTCTGAAGCATCACTCATCCTCATCGGTTTTCCCCCAAACTGTGGTGGCCTGACTGACTGACTTTCTTCCTGCAGGCAGCACCTGCTGGTGCACACGGCTCGGACCAGAGGCTACAGTAAGCTCATGCAGGGAGACAGCTGCACCAGACTGGCTGTGAAGCTGCTCACCAGTATCTCACTGGGCCGAGGAGCCCAGCTGGCCCAGGACACGGTGCGTACCGGAGCAGACCACACGCCCAGTGGCTCCTATCAGACCACTTTAGATGGAACAGATCTGATTTTGTTGTTTCCAGGGCTTCTCTGACTGCAGATACGGTGATGTAACAGTAGTGAGACCCATGAGGGAATACTCAGCCAAAGAAATAGCTTACTACAATCATATGTTCAAGGTTCCATCCGTTGTCATTCCAAACCTGGATACAAAGGTGAGGTGCCATCTGATCACCGTCGCTTTCCTCGTTTTGCTTCAGAACAGGACGGCTCTGTTTCTGTCCTGATTATCTGAGGCAGACATGTTTTTCCCTCCCAGATGCCAGACAAGGCCAGCATCCAGCGCCTGACCCAGAACTTCGTCACCAAGCTGCAGGCTGACTTCCACTCCACTGTCAGCACAATCTACCGGTCAGTCTGGACGGAGGTCCAGCATCACTGCACTGCAAAAACACTCAATCTCATCAAGCATTTCTGGTCTAGTTTCTAGTTCAAATATTTTCAAATATCTTGAAATAAAACAAAACTAACTTACAAATAACTTTTCAGCAAAGTTTAGGAGCTTTTTTTCCCCAAATCTGTAAATTACTCGTATTTCACTCATGACATTGGAGAAATGTCTCGTTTTAAGTGAAATAATCCGCCAATGGAACTAGTATTTTTTTAACCACTATTTCGAAATCACTGACTAAAACAAGCTGTCCACCTGTGGGCCTGGAGGAGCTCTGAGGTTTGTACTTTTGGCAGTGATGTGTGTGAAGAAGAGCAGAGAATGTCAGACAGCTCAGCTGAAATGTCTCATTGCTGAGAGAACACAAACGGAGCAACATCTGGACTGATTAACACAGCATCACAGCTCGACCTTTTAACCTTTTGTGTTTTCAGGACTGGGGAGAAGCTGCAGACGGCAGGCAGGGACTCCTCCGCCGCTGAGGACGCCAAGCGGTGTGTGCTGTGTGTGTGTGGCCTGGACACTGCTGCTGGTGAGTCACAGCAGCAGCATGTCTTCCATTCACACTATAACTTTTTACATCTTGCTCTGCAGAGCAGTGGCATGCTGAGACATTCTGGGGATCAGGCGCTCACATGGAACCACTGACTGACTTGAGGCTCATCTTGAACATCGTGTCTATATCCCTTTTTTAAATCAATATCCATGTGCTGTCTTATGCAGATGCTTAATGTTCATCCCAGAAGAAAGAAATCAACTCAGAACAGCTGGATGGTTGAAGTAATGACATGTACATAAGTACTCACAGCCTTTGCTTAATACTTTGTTGATGCACCTTTGGCAGCAACTCCAGCTTCTTTCAGCAGATCGTTTCATTCCTGTCTGCGGTTCTTCTCCAGCTCCATGTTAGACATCTGTCCATCTGCCATTTTCTGATCCTTCCAGAGCCGTCCAGTCAGATTCCAGGCTGGACTCTGGCTGTGCTGCTCAGCGACATCCACAGAGTCGTTCTGTAAATGAAAACAGAGGGTTTTGTAACAAACTGATCCTTTTCTCACATTGTTTCTGATAGGAAATGTGACGGGTTTCACTGATGATACTGGTCATCACTGGTCGAATAAAAATTGTTCTAAATCTAAATTTGTCTGTATGTGTAATTATGAGCTTAGCCGTAACTCATGGACTTGACGTTACTCACACCTCATTTCTGTGCATTTAGAGCCACGTAACAAGATAAGAAACTTTCATGTTTAACTTGAGAATGATTCTGTTTCCATTCTTTATGGAGCTCTGGCTCTCTGCTGCCGATCAGTGAAGTTTGTGTTTTCTCCTGATTTTCAGAAGAGGCTTCAGCGCTCCAGGCCACGCTGATTTCAGAGCAGCTCTCTCAGAGCTCAGGTGAAGTATTCCATCAGGATGATTCCAAACCATGTAAAGTTCATTTCTGCTTTTACTGATTGTAGAGCAGGTGTCATTTCTGGTATTATGTGTCTTCTGGGGAGTAGTTACATCAGTCCTCTGACTTTAACAGAGTGTGTGTCCTTGTTTCCAACACGGTTCCAGTGAAACCAGAACCACCTGCCAGTGTTGGACAGTGTTGCTCCTCTGAAAGACCCTGTGGGGGGGCAGAAGGGACTGGTGACTGCTGTAGGTCTTCAAGGTAAGAGTTGATTATTTACTGAAGTCTGACCATCAGGACAGGAGGAACACCTAGGATGCAGAGCCAGGTCTCTGTCTTGTCCTCTCAGCCTATCCTGGGTGTTGAAGGACAGGGATGAGGCAGTTTACAACACTTTATGAGCACCAGAACAAGCTCTGTGCTGTCATCTTGTGGGCTCTTTGTCTTCCAGGGACCATGAGGCCACTGACCTGAGGAGCCTGCTGTGCTACAGCTGCAGACGGACTGTCAGAGACATGGTGAGTGGAAACTGTCCCATGAAGTTTAGGAACCTGATGGACATTCTGTTTGGTCTTCTCTGTCCCCTAAGTGGTGGACCAAATGGGGATTTTACTTTTCCAACGTTTCTCCCAGAAAACCTGCCAAGCCTGGTGGTAGAGGTGGTAGGGTCAGTAAGTATTAAGAAATGTTAAGTTACAAAAATTTGGAGGTGAATAATAACATTTGGTGGACAGGACAATTGGTTCTCACCACCTAAAGCCCAGTTCAAGGAGTCAGCTATATAGTAAATGGTCTGAACTCATAAAGCCCTTTTTCAGTGCTTTGCCTACCAATCATGCACAGATTGGTTGGCAAAGTGCCTTTCCCCAGGGCACATTGACATGTGAAGGGAGGAACCTTGGGTCAAACCTACAACCTTCCGATTACAAGACGACTCTACTCTGAGCCACAGACACTACATGACGACCACTGAGCCACAGACACTACATGACTGGCTATAAGGCTAGTTTAATCCATCTTTATTGTCACTGTTATTGGTGCATAAAAAAATCCTATTTAAAACTAACAATACCCAGCCTGGTGGGGAGGCAAGTGAAGCCTGGAGGCCCGCCAGACTTATAATGCACTGGGAGGAAACCCTGCTTCTCTAGAATAACTAAAGATCCAGAAATGTGCAGGTCTGGTCTCTGGTTCCCATTTCTATGCAGGAAGGAGGATTTTCATGAAGTACCAGGATTTCCATAATGATACATTAATGTATATTTAAGTGTTTCGGTCTTTTTCCAGCCCATTTTCTTTTTCTGTTTTCCTTACAGTCTTCAGTCGATTGTCTCCCTCAGTATGTCCTGTCAGTGGCTCAGAGGAGACAAAACCGGTGAGACATTCAGCCTTCACACTTTGTACAAGATGATCAAATATTTTATCTGACCTACTTTGATCCCACACTTCAGTCACTCATCAGCAATCAGGGATACTGTTCAGTAATCAGACTGTTTGATCGAAAACTGCAGGAAACAAAAAATCTTTTCAGTCCTTAATCTGATTGAAAGGAATCAAAAGTTTCTGCAGATCTCAGGTTTCAGACAGTTTGTTCCAGAGCGGAGGAGCAGAGAAACTAAATGTTTAATTCTAGTTCTGGGAACACTTACTGTTCAGGTCTACATGGTTCATAACTGATAAACTGACTCAGTGAGTGTAGAGAAGTAGGGTCCTTTGGTTACACAGATATAAACTCTGTGTCATTGTTTGCTACCACATCAACATACATGTAGTTTACATCTTAGTTAGTGGAATCATATTGATTGAATAAATGGCCCCGGTATACACCTTGAGCGACCCCAGATTTATATTTACTAATTGATTCAAAAATAATCCTTGGCAAATTGGATCTAAACCAGTTTAGCATCAGACAACCTGAACCATTTTCCAGCCTTAGTACGTTGTGATCACTGAGATCCAGTAAGACCAAGACAGTTCTAGTTCCGGTTTAGTTTTATTGACGATCTGCTAAGTGGAACATTGTTTCACTGGAGCACTAATGCATTACCAGTAATTATTATAAAGTACACTTATTGAATTTATAATCCTTTTAACAAATAAATGAATATCCATCTGATCATTCTGGATAACAATACAAAACTAAGTATTTTGACTGCATTGTTGCTTTATTTTACACACCATTAGGAAATGTGATCCAGTATGAGTTTATGATGGTTGGTATTGGTAAGGCAAAAGCTCCCCATACTGCTAATGAACCTAAGACCCTTATTCTACTTACTAATGTACACATAACAATTACTCTCACCTTCATCTTCTGCAGGTCTGCAATGAAAGAGCAGATCAGCGAGTTTCTGTTGGACGATGCTGATGAAAACAATTAGAGGGACAAGATGAAGATCAAACATGCCTTAATTTTTTTATTTTTAATGGTGGAACTTCTTGTAACTAGAATTTCTCAGTGTATCGATAAAGTAAATGTCCTCTCTGAAATATAAAGTAAATATCCTCTCTGAAATCAGCCTGTTTCCTAACTGCAGTGCCTTGAATCACTCACCTTAGCTTCATATTTTTTCTCATTACAAACCACAAACTTTAGTATTTGATTTCAACCCAAAATTATTTATACACCTGGTGGATTTGATTCTTTTCACTGAATTGAAGTTTGATAATAAATGACAGCATTGCTCAAAGGTTAAGGTACCACTTAAAAAAAAGTTTAATGATACAAAAATTACATTTCTACCCATTAGAATGGAAAAATTGCATCAGTCTGACAGCAATTTCACTGATTTATTTTTGATTGGCTCAAAAGCCTCTTTACAATCATCTAATCTTCAGCTGACTCCACAGATTTTCATCAGGATTCTGGCTGGGTTGCTCAAACAGCAGAAGCATGTCAGTGAAATCAGGAGTTTATTATCACCTTAAATCAGTCTGGGGGTATTAATCAGTTTTGGCTCAACTGAAGGAAATCTAACTTTAAGGGAAAAAAAATCTGCTCTTTAACAAGTAGCATAAAAGCAGTCTTGGATCATTTGGCGAGTCTGCAGATATTCTAAAATAAATATCCTCCAAGAGTTCAACTCAGAACCATCTCAAGGTCAGGTATTTCTATAGACTCTGGTAGAGCCTAAGAGAAGCAGAACTTGACCCTTAAGGGATATTTTTTTTAAAGAACCATTTTAGTTTTTAGACAAAAAAAAAACTTTGGAGAAAATCACACAAGGTGCATTTTTATTGAAAAGATATTAGAAACTTTAGGTCTGCAATAAATCCCACACAAACATACAAGTATTTACAGGTTATTAGTTCACAGAGGGCATCAATGTGTTTCTATGGAGGCTCTACATGTTGATGTTAGCAGCTGGCAGAGTGGATTTGTCCAGGTCATCGAAGTATGGATGGGTCAAGGCCTCCCGGGCAGAGATCCTCTTTGGTGGATTGTAGATCAACATTTTCTGTTGGAGGAGAAAACAGACATGGAGAGCAACGTTAGGATTTAGGTAGATGAGGCCAGGTGACAGAAGTTACCTCACTATGGACGATGGCTTTATGTTCATTCCTCTCCATAAACAAGTTTTTTCTTCTGTCTTTAACTGATCCATGTTCTACCTGAACTTCGTACCACATGAACAGTGAATAACTGCTTGTCCAAGCACTCCAATGAGTGCATATGTTAGCCATGTTATTTATGCTAACTTTTAACTATGGGACTGTAGCAGCATCCAGAAGATTCTCTGCTGTAAACATTTGATTGTCCAGCTAGCAACCGGACTGACCAACTCAGCCCGTCACAATAACAAATTTTACGTGGATGATAAATTATCCCAAAAGTTATTGCGATAAAGGATAATATTGCTGCTTAGAAACCATTTTCAAATAATGTAATGGTAACGGCTTAATAACGCAAGAACATATTGTCAAAGATCAGTTAACTTTAAATTCTAATTAACATTTAACACTGGAACTGGAAAACATTTTAAATATCAAAAATATACAAAAGAACAGAAACACTAAATACAATGAATTATGAAGCCTCTAAAGAAAATTCTTCTTTGAAAAATGAGTCTAGTTGAGACCAAAGCACCAGACTGAAGACTTTTATCATCTAGTTTTCAGTAGAAAAGAGAAAAATAAATTATGCAAATGGACATTGAGCTTGTTTAATTTATCATGTGTTTAATTGATTTATTGTGACAGACCTATGAGCAAACACACCATCAGTGTCTGCAGACATGCTACTCTCTGGACAGGGGAGAGTGCTATAGAGCCCTTCACTGTACAGTTATTAGGCAACCGAGTACTTTGACCACATCATTGTTTTTAGGCATTATATTTTCTAAGTTACACAGAAAACCTGAATCAGTTTGAACAGGAAACTGAACTGGACCGCTTTGTTTGATAAGTAGGATGAAACGAGTGGATGAATCTGTATGACTAGATTGAACTGACTGTATGAATTCTGATTTTTTTTTTTTGTTTGTTTTTGTAAAGTGCATTGAGGTGATACTTGTTAATCTGCACTTTATAAAACTGAATTGAAAATGGAATTAAGTATCATCCAAGAGGAAACAGAGATGTGTTTATTAGAGAAGAAGCTCTGAGGAAAACGCTAAACACTCTGATATCATTTAATCAGTACTGAACAAATCAAACTGCAGCTCGGCTTGTATTTCACTTGAATTGTCCAGGATGTGCGTCACACAAAAAAGCATTGAAATGAATGATCATACTCTCACTCTTTAGAGGGAGAGAGTTGAAATTTGAACAGGAGTGTGTGCAGTGTGTGTGTAGAGGATCCGTTGCCCTCACCGCCAGCAGGTCCAGGCCATTCTTATCCAGGTTCTTCACCATCGACGACAGGTTTCCTCCCTTCCATTTAGGGAAAGTGCTTTTGTAGTCAGGCAGGTTCTCCACATCAGGCCAAACTTCGTTGTTCGGAGTACCCAGTGTTCTGAAAAGGAAATGCAACTAAAAATTTACCAATAATATCAGGAGTTGTTAATGATTTTACTCTAGAACTCCAGCTTTCCAGCTGCTCATGTGAGTTAGCATTTTATTTGACCTGCAGGTCAGTTTTCATAAAACTGGCCCACAGTCATATCTAGGGCTGGGCAATGTGGCTTAAAAATCTGATTTTTTATTTTATTTTTATACTAAATCAATTTTAAGGTATTTTTTCCCTTCCTTTTTTTTCCTGAAAAAATGAATAAATAAAAAGATAAATAAATGTTAATAAATAAAAATAAATAAATCCAAATGGCAAAAAATATTTTCAAAAAGTGACTTGTTTCAGTCATTCCTTCTGGGAGTTGATGAGACCCTTTGAGAAGTTTTGTTTAATTACGAGAATATAGTCATAACATTGACAGAAAAAAGCGGCAATTTTATCGCTTTTAAAAGCAATTTAAAAAAGTCAAAAGTTGTTTTAACTTTTTTTTTGACTTCCTAAAATCTAATGTCAGATGTTGCTTAACATTGCTCATTTTAATTTTCTGTTATTTTTTGTGTTGATGTTCTCATCAAATTACTGTAGTCTTCTAGTATTATTACTTTATGCTCTTAGCTTAAAAATAAATAAATCTCAGCCTGGCCCTAATATTTTGTCATAGAGTTGACTTGAATTCAAAGTCCAAATAAATAGAAGCTGTAAAACTCAAGTAACTCAGAACTATAGGAACCCAAGGAAAGCATTTGTGTGGGAGAAAAAAAATATTTAAAAAAAATTAAATCCTCAAAAAGATAAAAAAAAATCAGGGAATCATCACCCTAGAGCTTGGGTTCAGGTAGAGCTAACCCTAGCTCTAGTAATATCAGCCTGTTTGTTCAGTTTTCTTGTTGAATGACCTGAAGATCCTGAAGAGCTGGTCGATCTCTGAGTCTCCATGGAAAAGCGGCTTCTTGGTCGCGAGCTCAGCGAAGATGGTTCCGGTGCTCCAAACATCCACAGGGGTGGAGTACCTGGGGGAGCCCAGCAGGACTTCTGGAGCCCGATACCAAAGGGTCACGACCTGCAAGCACACAGTTTACGATCAGAGAAAACCCTTCGGACAGGCAGAGTGGGTCCAGTTCGCTCGGTGCGCCTCACCTCGTGTGTGTAGACTCTGACCGGAACGCCGAAGGCCCGGGCCAAGCCAAAGTCCGCCAGTTTGATCACACCCTTGTTGTCGATCAGCAGGTTCTGGGGTTTCAGGTCCCGGTGGAGAACCCGGCGACAGTGGCAAAAGTAGATTCCCTCCAGGATCTGGTAAAGGTAACTCTGGGAAAAACCCAACAGGGAGACGCAAACAGTCAGGACGACGCATCACTGACGGCAGACTGCGGTCAGCCTGTCAGGATGTACCTTGACCAGCATGGGGTCCATGTACTGGCCAGACGGGATGGAGTCCAGGTACTTCTTCAGGTCCATGGACAAGAACTCAAAGATGAGGTAGAGACGAGACTCCTGCATCAGGACGTCCAGGAGTCTGTGTGTAAACACACACACACAAACACACAAAGTTGAACCTGGGTTTGTACCAGGTGAAACTTCAGCTCAAGAATCCTACTTATTGTCATGTCAACAGTGACATAATCAGGATTATTAATGATCAACTTTTATACTTTTTTTAAAACAGAGGTTGAATAAAGTAATACCATTGAAGTTTAAATGTATTTTACTAAAGTATTCCTCACTTATAGGACAGCTATGTGTAGGTTAGTCACAATAAATTTAGCTGGTTAATACATTTTCACAGAAATTATTATTAGAATAATTCTATTATTAGAAATGAATTATTGAAATTATTGCAACAAACTATGATATTGCTGTTGGAGCCCATGTTCATGTAGTATAATACTAAAGGCATATTAATGCAAGAACACATCCTCAAATATCAATAGATTTTCAATTCTAATGAACATTTAACAATGGAAGACATTTAAATATTCCAAATAAATAAACAGAACAACAGAAACAACAAATAAAATTAATTATAACATCTCTGTAAACAAACAAACAAACAAACAATAATAGGCCAGTTAAGACCAAAGCACCAGACTGAAGACTTATTAATTTTTTGGTAGAAAGAGAGAAAGTGTGTGTGGGGGGGGGAATCATGTAAATGGAAATTATTGAGCTCATTTAAGTCAGTCATTTCATTAGTGATTTCAGTGAAAATCCAAACATTTTGCAGTGAAAGCAGAGCAGAAACCGTCTGTGGCCCTGTGGAAAGTCTGCTCTGCTGGCAGGTTGTCGGATTTGAACCTAGAGCTCAGGATGCCAGTAAAGTAGCTGCCTGCTGATGCTGAACTTCATTAAGTCTCCTCCTAGAGGAGGAGACATAATGACTCTATCAGAATAGAGTCTGTTAAGCTGCATAATTAACCTTATGAAGAATTTGTAGCAGACTCGGTAACTCCATAAACATTTGAGTTATGAATCTGAGCCATGTTGGCATCTGAAGAGGTGACCCAGTGACACCGCCCTGCATCCCCCACAGCAGCCACATCCTCCCTTCACTCTATCCAGCTGCA